ACTTGTCGGAAAACTCAAACAGAGTTCTTAAAGAATATAATTTTGTGATATAATAAATAACTATTTATATTTTCGTTCTTGTTAGTTTAATAAATCATGTTTGATCTAATTAATCATCGAAATGAAATATTTTGTCCAGTTTTAAATTTAGGCGACTTGTAAAACATATTTGTCATCATTTAAATATATTTTATTTCATATAACATTTTTTATATAACAAATAACTATTTAATATCTTTTATACAAAAACTAATTATTTACATTTCGTTAGTTTAATTAATTTTGTTTGAGCTAATTAATTATCGAAATAAAATATTTTGTCTAGTTTTAGATTTACAGAGCTTATAAAATATGTTTGTAAACATTTAAATATTTAAATTTTAATCATTTAAATTTTATTCGTTTTGTATATGAAATTTTTTACTAATTCTCACATTAAAACTTTACATTAAATCTTGTCCCATCCACAAATATCTAAAATAATTAAAAACACACATTTTTCATTATAAAGAATTTCAAAAATTAATGGAAACATGATAACGGTCTGTAAGACCAATATTACTACTAGTGTGATTTCTTCGAACATATCAGTTTAAAGGTTAAAGAAACGTTTTCGAGTACATCGAGAGAATATTTCTCCTCCATGGCGTATACTAAAAAACGGCAGTATCATGTCATAAAACAAGCGCACCTTTTCTGATCACGGCGGCCGTTATAACCTCGTGAGAAAGCCGCGACGTCCTTTCGTTCCTTCGGCTGTCCTCATCGCGTGTCCTGACCGACGTCCCAGTCCAATTGAGCACAATCCATCCTAAGATCGTGCCAGAAATGCGTATCGCATATACGCACCGTTATTCGCAAGAACATGCAAAAGTGCGCGAGTATGCGTGAGTATACCCAGTCGAGCATTTCCATTTGACCTCGCAGTCGTCCTCTCGTCGCGAATCGCGAACGCGAGTCGAAGCCGAAGCAGCACCGAGCCGGCAGTATGCCATTCTGAGATATTGACCTATTTCGAGTTGGCGTGCAACGGATAAATCGAAAGGTTGCGTATCGGCTATTGCTACACGTACGCGATGTCTTAAATGGTGACGATTGCGCCGCTCGAACGTTTCCCTCCGTTCGTGAACCGCTCGCGTCTTCCATGACGCGCAAAAATAACCTTAGCGCGAGATAAGTGGAGAGAATAGGTGTTTCTCGGTATGTGCGAAGTCAACTTGCGTCTTCGCCTTCGTGCCGCGTTCCTTAAATTCAGTGTCTCGGTTTGCGCGTTCGTTAAGGGATTAGGCCATCTTGGACGAGTCAAAATCATTGTCATTTCCGGGAATTTCTTCCGAAGACATGACAAAAGAAACATAAAAATGAAAATACGGTATTTATTAAGCAACTCTTTAAGGGAAAGAATATATTTTTTTTGTAATTATTTTGTTTGTAATTAGTTTGTTTGTAATTATTTTCTAATTATTTTTGTAATTATTTTGTAATTATTTTAAACAAAATAGCGACGTTGAAGCCGAGACACTTTTTGACCGACGCTTTCAGCGGTGTTCAGTTTGACGACTACAGCATTGGATGTAAAACAGAAACGAAAAAATTTTTATTATCTGCATGCCAAAAACTGAAGAAATACATATGCATTTTATGAAATATTAAAAATTTTTTTGCAATTAACACTTTTGCACGAAATTTTTAGGTCAAAACATGAAATATTTTTTGTGTTTACCATTTCTACAAAAAGTATTTACCATTTCCATAAAAATAAATATTTCTAAATATCCATATGTACTTCTTCAGTTTCTGGCATCTAAATAATAAAAATTTTTTCATTTTTATTTTACGTCTAATGCTGTAGCCATGAGACTGAACACCACTGAGAGCGTCAAAAGGGCTCCCAGTGTCGACTTCAACGTCGACATTTTATTTAAAATATTTACAAAAAAATACTTTTTTTCCCTTACAGAGTTGCCTGATAAATACCTTATTTTCATTTTTGTATTTTTTTATGTCCTCAGAAAAAATTCCCGGAAATGACAGTGATTTTAACTCGTCCAAGGTGGCCTAATTCCTTAAGAAGAGAGATTTGTTCCGAGTCGATCGAGGACGGCAGCGTCGTTGGAGTGAGGTCGCTGAAAGGAGATTACGATTTTTAATTACTTAGCCGTTTCGCGTATTGACCGGCCGGCCGGCATTTTACCGAGTTTTCCCCAGCGCACGACAAGAGTTCTCTCGGCGAGCTCGCACGATAATTAATTTCAAGAGAGCTCAGTTTATTCTGCCGGCGGCAGCTGCGAACGATGCGATGCTTTTGCCCGTGTTTAAGCTGCGATTCCTCGCGCCACGGGGAGCAGCGTGGGAGAAGCTTATGCACATACCAACTGTACTTCTTTTTCAAGTAATAGCGAGATTATTAGGAATTCACCGCCAACACCTCGAAACCATCGCGCAAGAAAGTGAGGCGTTTCGGGTGAGGCGAGCCGGTGAGGCGTTCCAGCGATCCCGACCAGATGTATCATTCACTCCTTAACGTGCAGCCTGGAGCACTCGAGATTATTCTACCTAGTTACTTGTAATGCAACATCGCCGTGCTGCTTGCAAACACATGAACCGAGTTGAATTCCGTGCCTGCGAAATAAAAACAAAATTACACCGTGCCGTGAGGGAACTCGGCGCGCCCCGTGCGGAAGTTCCTCCCGTCGTGACGTTCTGACGTCCGGTTAATCTGGCAGGCAACTTGCAGCTTTTATAATTCACTTATTATTATGTAACTATGGATCTATTAGGTGCTTTGGATAATTTTCGCTGTATTTTTGTTTGAAAACACATTTATTTCAATTATAAAATAAATTGGTTGATAAATCAAAATATTTATTATTATTATTTCATATCGTTTTATATTACTTTTTCCCATCTTCCTGAGGTGAAGAGATGAATTTCGCAACGATAGAACAGCGTTCAGGTCTTGAAACAATCCATTCATCTACCTACTTTTGGGCTTACTTCGTAATTTTGAAAACGTGTGTCTTGAAGGGCATGTTACATTGAACAGAACAAAAAGTAACCAGACGGGGCCAAGTCTGGAGAAGACTCACCGTGCAGAAGAACCTTCCATTCCAGCTCTGTCAGCGTTTCCTTCACGACTTTTGCAACATATGGGCGGGTATTATCGTGCAACAGAGTCACTTTTCTTTTGTTGTATGCGATTTGTAGTCGTTTTTGATCTAACGATAGCTTCAAACTGTATAATTGTTGTCGATATTGATCTGTCGTAACAGTTTCATTCGGTTTTAAGAACTCATAATACATAACACCTTCTTGATCCTACCAAATACAGAGCTATGTCTCATGACCATGAATATTGCGTTTTGGCGCCGATGTGGATATTTTGTCTGGGTCTACCCATGATTTTTAGTGTTTATGATTATCATAATGGATCCACTTTTCATCACCAATGACAATCCGGTACAAAAAACTATTTCTTTCTGCCTGACAATCAGAGGAATGGCAATGGATACATGATTCAACATATTTCGCTTTCCAAAAAAGGTCGTCGAAAAATGATTAAAATATGAATTTGTTAGAAAATAAATGAACTTTAGACCTCATATATCATCATTGTACCAAAGAACAGATTTTCCAAAGCAACGTAACAGTTAAAAAACAAATTTTTTTTTCTTATTAATCAAAGTCTATTTTCAACAGTCGCTATTTTGTAAAACAGTCTTTATAATTCACTTTTAAGTTTTTGGTTGTTGACAAGAAATGTCCAAGCTTTAATTTGAATTTTGTTTCATCTCAATAGGATGATTTTTGGTTGTTATCACTATTGAAAAATATTACAAAACTGTGCTAAAATTTGGTGACCCATTCTTTTTTTTTGCGGGTGAGTGTCTATAAGAATCTGTAAAATTTAACGATACATCAAAGGCAACAATATGTTCAAGAAAAATAATATAAACTAAAATAACAATATATCAAAATATAGATATATAGAGGGTGTCCCATTTTAATGTCTCACCCTAAATAACTCTTCAGTATTGAAGTTTCAAGGAAAATGATCTGAATAGAAGTTATAAGGATTTAAATGAGCTACCTTATGATGATCTTGACATTGACCTTGACCTCTATTTTCAAGGTCATTTGGAGGTCAACTTGCGTTTTTTAAATGGGAACCCTTATTTTTTATTACACTGTCTTTTTTCTACTAGTTAATATGAACAACTTTTGTCTAAAACATTTTTTTATTTGTCTAATATTTTTTGAGATATTTGAGGAAAACTTGATAACTTTTTCAATATTTAACTTACGATAGCTCGCTAACTATTTCTCGGAAGAAAAAGTAGTACTAGACTTTCTTACTTTATTTAGTCTCAAAAATATATTGTTACAATAGCGCCCTGATTTTTGTTAATTTAATGATTTTGAAATTTCTAAAAGTCAGTAAATTAACAAAAGTCAGGGCGCTATTGTAACAATATATTTTTGAGACTAAATAAAGTAAGAAAGTCTGGTACCACTTTACCTTCCGACAAATAATTATCGAGATATTGTAAGTTAAATATTGAAAAAGTTATCAAGTTTTCCTCAAATATCTCAAAAAATATTAGACGAATAAAAAAATGTTTTAAACAAAAGTTGTTCAAATTAATTGGTAGAAAAAATCAGTATAATAAAAGATAAAGTCTTCTATTTAAAAAACACAAGTTGACCTTCAAATTACTTTGAAAATAGAGGTCAAGGTTAAAATCAAGGTCATCATAAGGTAGCTCATTTAAATTCCTATAACCTTTATTCAGATCATTTTTCTTGAAACTTCAATACTGAAGAGTTATTTGGGGTGGGACATTAAAATGGGATACCCTGTATATACATAAATATATATATGTATATATATATATGTAGGAATATTCCACCTATCTGAGCAATGTAAACAGCTCTTTCCGAAGATTGCCCTCAGATAATTCTCGTCTTAGAGAACGCTCGCTCAACAACTGCGTAAGGCTTTGAATCTTATCATAACCGATCACCGCGGGTAAGTTCATCATCGTTGACTCGCGACGGTCACTTCATGTGTTTCTCTCATTCGAAAGTGCTCAAATTGTTTCGCAGCCGAGTGTACGTGACGGAAAATTTTCTATTTGTTTGATATCTCGTAGATACTGTGAATATTATAACTACTGAAATTTTCAAATACTCGCTCGCCGAACACACGTAGTGCGTATCAAAACTTATCTTTTTGGAATGTACCAATAATTAGTCGATTCACGAAGAAAAACAAAGTTGAGCGGTGCGATTGTACAAAAAGATTATTACGCCGAGCAAGTTGTGAAAGGACAAAATCTCGATTAAGAGAGAATCGATAGGAAGAAACCGGAGCAGTCCTTGAAGAGCGATCCGTGCTGCAAACGTTAAGAAAAGGGAACAGTATTAAAAAGTACATGAATATGTCTCATAAATGTAATTCTTGCGGACAAAACTTCAATTATATGGATTTCATAAATCATCTCATTGAGGTCGCTGAACATTGGATAGAGATAATGAGCCATTGCGACTACGAAACCAACGATGAGGTAACCATGCAAAAGTACATTATACGAAACCTCAAGGACTGTTACATGTACATTCAATAATTCTATAACTTTGTTTACAATCTACAGGAGAATGTGCAGAGCCATATTCGTGATCATTCTAACGAACAAGAAGAAAGCAATATTATAGACCCGGAACCGTCTTTGGAGAGTGATCCATGCTGCAAACATTTCAACAGAAACAACTGCATTGAAAATAATATGCTTCACGAATGTGATGTTTGCAACCAAAGATTCCGTAGAAAGAATGAGTTGACGAATCATTTAATGGAGGAACACAAAGATTTAATGCACCAATACGAACAATACAACTACGACACCAACGATGAGGTAACCTTGCAAAAGTACATTATACGAAAGTGCAAGGACGGTGACATGTGTCCTTAGTAAGCCTGTAATTTTGTTTATAATCTACAGGAGGTTCTGCAGAGCCACACACATAATCATTCTAATAAACAAGAAGAAAGCAATATTATAGAAGCGGAACTGTCGTTGGAAAGTGACCCGTGCGGCAAACATTCCAGTAGAAACAGTTGCATTGAAAGCAATATGCCTCACGAATGTGATGTTTGCAACCAAAGCTTCCGTAGAAAGAATGAGTTAGCGAATCAATTAATGGAGAACTATAAAGATTCGATGCACCAATATGAGCATTGTAACTACGAAACCAACGATGAGGTAACCATGCAAAAATACATTATACGAAAGCGCAAAAACAGTTACATGTGTCCTTAGTAAAGCTGTAACTTTATTTATAATCTACAGGAAGAATTGAAAAGCCAAATACGTGATCATATTAAGGAACAAGAAGAAAGCAATATTATAAACCCGAAACCGTCTTTGAAAAGTAATCCGTGCGGCAAACATTCCAACAGAAACAGCTGCATTGAAAATAATATGCCTCATGAATGTGATGTTTGCAATCAAAGGTTCCATAGAAAGCAAGAAATGATACATCACTTAATGAAGGTTCATAAACGTAAGTTATATAGATGCAGCCTTTGCAACTACGATAGCAACCAGAAGGAACACTATCAATATCATATTATACGAGTGCACGAGAACAATTATAATTATATATGTCCTGAACAAGGCTGTATATGGAAGTTCAAAGTAAAAAGGGATCTAACGAGGCACATACGATTTGTTCATTCTAACAAACAAAAGGAACGCAATAGTGCGGGCTCAAAACCGTCTTCGCAGAATGACTCATGCGGCAAACATTCCAACAAAAACGGTAGCAATGAAATATACAAAAAAAATCCCACGCAATGCCTAGTCTGTAATCAAAGATTCAGTAAAAAGCAAAAGTTGATGCATCATTTAATGGAGGTCCACGGATGTCGGACAACATTCAACTGCAGCGATTGCAAGTACGGATCCAACAGAAGGAACGATCTTCAAAAACACATCGCACGTATGCACAGTTACGACTATGTGTGTACTGAGGCCGGCTGTAACAGAAAACATAAAAAGGTATTTGGAAAAACACATGCAACATGCTTATCTTAATAATCAGAAGAAAACCATTAGTGCCGAATAGCAGTAGAATCGTCCTATGCAGTAACATTCTACAGGAAGTAGAAGCATTGAAAATCGTATACCTATATGTGCCTCACCAATGTAAAAGCTACAACTAAGATTTCGATAGGTATAAATATTTGAAACACTACCACACTATCTACTGGGAGGACCTCACATATATAACTGGACGTTTGCAATTATACAGGGTGTCCCAAAGGTAACGTACCACCCTAATAACTCTTCAGTATTGAAGTTTCAAGGAAAATGATCTAAATAAAAGTTGTAGGGATTGAAGTGAGCTACCTTATGATGATCTTGACATTGACCTTGATCTCTATTTTCAAGGTCATTTGGAGGTCAACTTGCGTTTTTTAAATGGGAACCCTTATTTTTTATTACACTGTTTTTTTCTACTAGTTAATATGAATAACTTTTGTCTAAAACATTTTTTTATTTGTCTAATATTTTTTGAGATATTTGAGGAAAACTTGATAACTTTTTCAATATTTAACTTACGATAGCTCGCTAACTATTTCTCGGAAGAAAAAGTAGTACTAGACTTTCTTACTTTATTTAGTCTCAAAAATATATTGTTACAATAGCGCCCTGATTTTTGTTAATTTAATGATTTTGAAATTTCTAAAAGTCAGTAAGTTAACAAAAGTCAGGGCGCTATTGTAACAATATATTCTTGAGATTAAATAAAACAAGAAAGTCTAGTACCACTTTTTCTTCCGACAAATAGTTAGCGAGATATCATAAGTTAAATATTGACAAAGTTATCAAGTTTTCCTCAAATATCTCAAAAAATGTTAGACAAATAAAAAAATGTTTTAAACAAAAGTTGTTCATATTAATTAGTAGAAAAAGACAGTGTAATAAAAAATAAGGGTTCCCATTTAAAAAATGCAAGTTGACCTTCAAATGACCTTGAAAATAGAGGTCAAGGTTAAAGTTAATGTCATCATATGATATCTCACTCAAATCTCTACAGCTTTCATCCAGATCATTTTCCTTAAAACTTTAATACTGAAGAGTTATTAGGGTGGTCCGTTACTTTTGGGACACTGTGTATCTAACATGAAACAGCATTTGCACGAATATCATACTGCACGAAAGCATATGCATAACTATGACGAGGTATATAATAAGGAAGGCTACCATAAGAAGTTCAAACACGAATAAGATCTGAAGAAAAAAGTAAAATATGATCACTGGAATAATTCCTATTAGTACCGAAAATATGGTCATGTAAGCTCTAGTTTTTTAAAGCACAAGAGGCAGACAGTCGTTTCAAGTGTAGAGAAAATAGAAGAAGGGCGCGATGAAACTGTTTATGCATAAGTTACACATTCCACACAAACACACACACATGCGCTCAATCACATATACGCTTAATGCATTCACATGCAGACAATGCCCACGTTTAATAAACATTCCAAACAAATGCCTTTGTAGAATTATATTTTTAGCCCTTTTTAAAATTTATTTTTATCCTTCAACATTTGTTCCTAATAATTCTACATTTCGTATATTTTCTTACGTACGTACGTACGTGCGTGTACGTGCGTGTACATATGCGTGTACGTGCGTGTGCGTGTGCGTGTGCGTGTGCGTGTGCGTGTTCGTGCGTGCGTGCGTGCGAGCGTGCGAGCGTGCGAGCGTGCGAGCGTGCGTGCGTACGTGCGTGCGTGCGTGCGTGCATGCATGCGTGCGTGCGCACATTTGTGCGCACGTGCATTCATGTGTGTACACGCAAGTTCACATCCAACTTTCTGTGTAGATTAAAAAAAGCGATACACAGGAAAGAGTTGGAGGATGGCTATATGACATACATTATATATGTATATTGTTATGCAAATTATGGTTACATCATTTAATAAGATATTGTGGCATTGATATAATTTCATTGTATTAGTTTGTGCTTTGACTAGGATATAATAAAAAGAAAAAATTATATATGTATATTATAACATATATGTTGACATTTAAATATAACATTTATGTTACAAACTTTTACTGAATGAAATTGTCATGGTGATATTGCTAGTAAACATGGCATAGCATAGGAATATAAGATTACGCATACATATACTGTCTTTTATTGTATTATATAATATTATGTTGCATTATTTTACAGTAACTTATATATTACTTTGTATTCATGCAATGTTACTATAGTTCAATACTTTAGTGCCAATTGTATGGTATATGACTGACATATTAATTTCATTTATATTTATTCTTAGATGTTGTGTCTTGCACTGAGATTTGATTATATGTAAATTTTAATATATTTTTGTTATATATATCATCTCTGTTATATATATCATCTATGTGTTTATAATAAAACCTTAATATATAGGATCTTTCACACCATGCATGCTAGCCGTTTTTGGGAAAAATATACATTTTAGAAAAATATGTTATATAGAAAAAATGTAGAATGTTAAACAGCGTATTATACAATAGCATCAATATTATCTTATACAGTGCTGTCAAGACCCTATGAAGGTCACATTTAATTTTTTTAATGGAATCCAAACTTTTTCATTGCATATTCTTGTAACGTAGCTCGAGAGCTTTTCAAGACATTATTATTATACAAACTATTTTTTATTAAGTATTTTACAAGGTACTAGATTAAAAATGGTCGAATTTACATTTCTTTTGTGATATACAGAGTATGAAAATGTTTTTGCGCTAGTTCTGACTGTTTATATATTTCTGACTATTGATATAGTAAATATCAAATAACATAAATATGTTTTGTCGTAGACCATTTAAAGAAAGATATGAAACTGATACAAACAGAAATTTATCATTTGTCATGCAATTATGGTTCATAATCAACGTAGGAAATATGTTCTTAAATGAGAAAGGTTTTGATATGCTTATGATTTTGAATGAATATCATCAAAATCACAAAGCAGCCGCACATCCGTACAGAGAGAGGTACCCACAACGAGAATCGCACAGTCTCGGGAAGTTTTTAGATGTCTTTTCTTTCGGGTTCCAACAAGTGGTGTGTTTCAGCCTCAATAAAATCAAAAGCAGGAAATTAGACGGCCTAGAGAGGTGAAAAATAGCTAATCCTTACTGCTGCTACTATGCGTCCTCATGAATCAATTAAAAGAATTTTGATTAATAACAAGTCAAACAATAATTTAGAGGATTTTGAATATCTATCGTTATGATACTTGTCACGTTAATTTTTGCATTATCCAACAAAGAGAGACAACATGATGGAGCGAATCCGAGACGCTTGCCAATTACTGAGCCCCGAGGAAGTTTTATGAGCTACTGACAGTGTTAAAACACGGCTGCAGCAATGTGTTTATCAAGGTGGCAGGCATTTCGAATATTTCTAAATAGTCAGAAACATGCCAATATATTTCCATACTTTGTATATCACAAAAGAAATATAAACCCGATCATTTCTAATCCAACAACTTGTAATATACGTAATAAAAAATAGTTTATAATAGTGTCTTGAGGAGCTCTCGAGTTGCGCTACAAGAATATGCAATAAAAAGGGGAGAGATCTATTAAAAAAAATTGAAAGTAATCTTCACAACCTTGACAGCTTTTATATAACAATTTTTTCTATAATGTATATTTTTCGAAAACAAGACGGTTGTCGTTGGTGGTCTAAAAGACCCTGTATAACAAAATTTGTTAAATAGTCAGAACACATTTTTTTATTCAACGTCCTGAAACATCTTAGAAACGTTCCACATCATTATTAGAATTGCTTTACAACATGTCATTCTTTGGAGACAAATAACTGGTGTATATGCATTGGAGTGAAGAATGACTATAGCGCATCAATATTCGTCGCATATCGAAAGTATTCGAATTTGTATGTGCATTTCCGCTAATTTACAATAATAATTTTTAATAAAATCCATAGTCTTACTAAATACCACTTCACTTTTCTAAAAATAATCTCTCAGAAAGTAGTCTTTGCTTCATGTGGAGTACAGAGAACGTCAGACCATTGCCGTGACGTGCAATTAAGGCGTACTTTGAACTCTATTTACGCCTTTCGATTCTTCACAGAAATGAATTGCTTCTTAACAGGTCGTCGACCATGTAGACCTGCGTCTTACAGGCGACGACATACAGTCTGTAAAGTAAAAGCGTGTACGGATTAATGTGTACTTCTATACCCTTCTGTTTTAATTTTGCTGCTCCTTGTCGCAATGTTAAGGTCGGGTTCCGCTTAAACAAATTCACAATTTTTTTTTCCATATTCGGCGTCACTTTGCCTATCGAGCCACGTTCTGGCAAGTCGTCGACACTTTTGATCTTCTTATATTGCTGAACCCACTTAGCGACGAACGATTTTGACTTTCTCACGTATTTAGCAGCTATTGCATATGACATTTTTGGTCCTTTGAGGTGGGAACAAAGGAACACAGCCTCGTAGCGCGATGCGCATGCGGTACTCATGGCGGTTAATGTGTTTCTCAGGTTAGAGTTCGACGCCAATTGAATCTTTTGTGACAAAGCATTCACGGCAAAGATTTCATCTATCGGTTCACAAAAAACTAAGACGATATTTCAAGCCAACTGCCATTTATGCCGTACACGATCTTACTTTACTTTACAGACTGTATGTTATGTACAGATGAATTTGACTGTTCTGGATTCAATATTTCTTTAATAATGTCCGGTCCCGTGACATGTTGATTGTTGCGAGATGTACGCAAAATGTGACGATCACCGGGAGAAAGAGTATGCGGATGGCCGTGTGTTTTCTTATTATAACAAAACCTTCCTGAAGCTTTAAACGCTCTTAAGTAACTTGATCATCGCTGATTTGGAAAAGCCTAACTGCCGGGAGATTTCTCCATGCCCTTGTTTGCGACTCTCTATGATAAATTTTCATTGTCGTTCGTCCATCTTCTAAGATACTACTAAACTAATGTTTACAGCCGTGCTGAAATAGCGACAAAATACATAAACATGACATAAACAAAGGTGATCCACGGACGATTTTGGGACAATTAATATAATGTTCTGAATATCATAATATATGTTGCTAAATTTTCTCATACATTACACACAAAGTATATATGATACAAGCTACCTGTTGCAAAAATGAATCTAATTTCTTTACTATAAAGAAAGTTATGTTAAAACATCCTAAAGGTGATATATTTTTGGTCGGTACTGTACATAAAGTTAAAAATACATGAGTATATAAATATACATAAATATATAACAATACACGATATATAAAAATATGTAACAACATATAGTATGTAACAAAATATATCACAATATATACAAAATAGCAATACATACAGTTATATTGCTTTTGAATGTTCCGCCTATTTGAACAATGTAAACAGCTTTTTCCGAAGATTATCCTCGGACAGTTTTTCGCTCAGAGAGCACTCGCTCAACAACTGTATAAGAGTTTAATTCTTATCATGACCGATCACCGCGCATAAGTTTATGATTGGTGACTCGCGACGGCTACTTCATGTTTCCCTCTTGAAGAAAGTGTTCAAACTGTTCCGCAGCCTTGTAGCTGACGCGACCTTTTCTGTTTGTCTGATATCTCGCTATTGGATACTGTGAATATCACAGCTACTAATGATTTCAAATAGTCGTTCGTCGATCTTACAAAGTGCACATAAAATCTTTAAGAGGTACTAATAATAAGTCGAATCACGAAGAAAAATAAAGTTGAGCGGTGTGGTTATACAAACGGATTATTGTGCCGAGCAAGTTGTAAAAGGGCAAAATCTCCATTAGGAGAGAATCAATAGAAAGAAAACGGAACAACTTTGAAGAGCGATCCGTGCGGCAAACGTTAAAAAAGGGAGTAGCATTAAAAAGTGGATATGTCCTACGAATGTATTTCCTGCGGACAAAGGTTCGGTCAGATGAATTTCACAAAGCACCTCATTGAGGACGAAGAATGTTGGATAAAAATATGGGACCATGGCAACAATGAAACCAACGATGAGGTAATCTTGTAAAAGTATATTATACTAAAGCGTAAAGACAATTATACATGTCGTTAGTCCATAGTAAGGCTGTAACTTTGTTCATAATGTGCAGAAAAAACTGGAAAGCGATATACATGTTCATTCACAAAAACAAGAAGAAAGTAATATTATAGGCCCGGAACCATTTTTAAGCAGTAACACGTATGACATACATCCCAGCACAAGCAGCGGCATTCAAGAGAGCAAAAATATACTTTACGAATATGATGATTACAACCAAAAGTTTTGTAGAAAGAATGAGTTGACGAATCACTTAACGCAGAAACACAAAGGTGTAATGCACCAATGCGATCATTGCAACTACGAATTCAAGGATGAGGTAAATCTGCAAAAGTGTTAAACATTGTACAAAACTCAAAGACGGATACATGTGTCTTCAGTAAAGCCGTAATTTCCTTTATAATCTGCAGAAACATCTGATGAGCCACATACGATATGTTCATCCTAACATCCAGGAGGAAACTAACAGTGCGCAGCCGGGACCTTCTTGGGAGGATGGTCAGTACAGCAAATATTCTAACAGAAATAGTTGCATTGAAAACAACAGGCCTTACGAATCGTGTAAAGTTTGCCAGCAGAGGTTTCATAGAAAGTTAGAATTGATATATCATTACAAAAATGTCCACCAACGTTTGATGCATCAATGTGAACATTGCGCCTACGAAACCAACAATGAGGTAACTCTGCAAAAATACATTGTACGAAAACACATGGACGGTTACATGTATTGTCAGTAAGTCTGTAACTTTGTGTATAATTTGTAGGAGGATCTGAAAAGCCACATGCAATTTTATCATTCTAACGTCCAGAAGGAAAGTAATCGTGGGGAGCACGGACCATCTTGGGAAAGTGATCCCTGTGGCAAACATTCCAGCACAAACAGCTGCATAGAAAACAATATGCCCTACGAATGTGATGTTTGTGACCAAAGGTTTCATAAAAGATATGAATTAATATATCACTACAAGAATGCCCACCGACGTTTAATGTACCAATGTGAACATTGCATATACGGAACTAACGATGAAGTAAATCTGCGGAAATGTTACCATATACATTGTACCAAAATGCAAAGACCGTTATATGTGTTCTCAGCAAGGATATAACCTTTTTATAATCTGCAGGAAGATATGAAGAGCCACATACGTGATCATTCTAACAACCAAGAAGAAAGCATTATTATAGACCCGGAACCGTCTTTGAAGAGTGACTCGGGCGTCAAACATTCCAGGAAACACAGCTGCATTGAAAACATACCTCACGAATATGATGTTTGCAACCAAAAGTTCCGCAAAATTAATGAGGTGACGACGAATCACTTAATGCAGGACCACAAATATTTAATGCATCAATCTGAATATTGCAACTACCAAACCAACAATGAAATAATCTTGCTAAAATATTATTCATTATAGGAAAACGCAATGGTTATATGTGTTCTCAGTAAGACTATAACTTTCTTTATAACCTGCAGGAGCATCTGGAGAGCCAGGTACAATGTGTTCATCCAAACATCCAGGAAGAAGATAATAGTGCGGAGCCGGGACCGTCTTGGCAGAGTGATACGTATGGCAAACATGCCAGCAGAAACAGCTGCAGTGAAAACAATATGCCTTACGAATGTACTGTTTGCAACCAGAGGTTTGATAGAACGTTAAAATTGGCATATCACTACAAGAATGTCCACCAACGTTTAATGCCCCATTGTGAACATCGCGCCTACGAAACCAATGATGTAACTCTGCAAAAATATTATACATTATACGAAAGCGCAAGAACGGTTATATGTGTTCTTAGTAAGAGTACAATTTTGTTTATAATTTACAGAAAAATCTGAAGGACCATGTACGACGCGTTTATCCTAATGTCCAGAAGGAAAGTAATAGTTCAGAGCCGGGACCGTCTCGCGAGAGTGAGCCCTGCGCCAAATATACCAGCATAAATAATAACAAAAAAAAGTACAAATTAGATTGGAAATGTCAAGTTTGTAATCAAGAGCTCTCTGGCAACCAAAAGTTGATGCATCACCTAGCAGAAGTCCATGGAATTCAGGCAAAATTCAATTGTAGCCAATGCAACTACAAAACCAACTTACACTATCTTTATTATCGTCATTGGAAAGCAATGCATGAAGACAATTACGACTACCCGTGTACTGAACCAGGCTGTGAACGGGCGTACAAAACACGAACAGGTCTGTGGAGACACATGCATGTTAAGCATTCTAACGAACAAGAGAAAAGCAATATTGTGGACCTGAAACTGTCTTCAGAGAGTCATCCGTGCGGCAAACATTCCACCAGAAAGAGCAGTGTTGAAACGTATGAAAGAAAACCTGCACTATGCCCAGTCTGCAACCGAAGGTTTCGTTTTCAGAAAGAGCTAATAGATCACTTAATAAAAGACCACGGCCGTCGAACGATATACAACTGCAGCCATTGCAGCTATGAAACTAATCACAGGCAAAGCTATGAAAGGCATAATAAACGAAAGCACGAAGACAATTACGACTACGTGTGTACTGTGCCCAACTGTAACTGGAAGGGCAAACTTCAGTGTGATCTAATACGACACATGCAAAGAGTTCATCATAATAAACAAAAGAAAAGCGGAAGTACGAACGCGGAGCCGTCCTTGGAGAATGACTCATGAATCAAACATTCCAGAATAAGAAATAAACAGCAATAAAGAGCCCAAAAATGTGATTAAGGTTTTGATAGAAAGAAAGAGTTGAAACATCATCTCTGAGAGGGGGAGGCCATAGAAGAACTGACTGCAGCGACTGCAATTACACATCTAACAAAAAACAGGACTTGCAATATCACATTGGACGAAAGCACGTGTACAATTACCACTACGTATTTATTAATAAAAGCTGTTACAAGAAGTTCAAACTTGAATAGGATCAGAAGAAAAACGTAAAATATAATCACTCGCATGACTCTTAATAATGATGAAAATATAATCATGCTAACTCTAGTTTTTTATAAAAGATACACGGATGTGCAGAAAAATTCAAAAATAGCCTGTACCATCTGTGGTAATATCATACACAGGTAAAGTTTATTTAATCGTTTACTGATGTATGTTGACAGGGCAATTACTTGTTCTGTTTGCAATAAGATATTTGGTACGAAGGGCAAAATGCGGAATTCATTCGTTGTACCACGGGCCAACGATTCTACTTCTGCAAGCTTTACGGCATGGCATTTGTCCATTCGCAGTTTTTACGCAGTTATATGGAAAGAGGGAGAAAAATGTTCGGAATAACTTCCGATCGAATAATGTCAGTAGATATTGAAGCATTATTGCAAAACTTCTAGATGGACAAGCGATAAACAGGCTGTCGAATTAAGCGTATAAAAAGCATAAAAAACAGTGGTGAAACAGTTTATGCTTCAGCTTCCACACACTCGCTCAAACTTACATCTTGAAACGCACATATGCTCATGCGTGCACACGCACATAAGATATCCGTGTTTAGAAAATATTCGAGAGGGAATTTCTTTGTAGAATTATATTTTTGCCCTTTTTGAATTGTGGTTTTGTTCCTGGACATGTATTCGCAATAGTTCTACATTTTCTATTCTTCTTTATACACGTGCGCAAAATGTTTTATTTATTGTACAATACGTATAACTATACATACAAAAGGAATGGATCTACATAGTGCAATCCTTGAGCTTAATCGAAACCTAAGCCCATGTCATCGTCTTATTCCTCTTCCGGTTCTTTCTTTTTTTTCTCTTCCTTGGTTGGTGCAGCTTTTGGCTGTTGGCAGGTGCTACTGCAGATGGAGGCTCAGCTCCTGCAGGCGCGGCACCAACACCAGATCAAATATCGGTAATCAGTTCTTTAACATCGATTCCTTCCAAAACTTTGGCAACAGCTTTGGCCAGTAAGATTCAACATTAATATTCGCAGCTTTCAAAATAGTTTGTATTTTTTCTCGCGTGCGTGGTGTGTGTATACATGGTTGTGCGCACATATATGTTCATAATTTTCTGTGTAGACTACAAAAACGAGACATATGGAAGAATTGAAGGATGGCTATGTGAGGTACGTCATAGATATATATTTTATTATTTGTGCTAAATGAAACATATAAAACTTTTTTTATAACAAGGTAAAGAAATAGAGTCTGCAAAGTAAGAGCCTGCACGAGTTAATGTGTAGAAAAATTTATTTTTAATGATTTTTAAGTACATGGATTTGTTGTACTCCATGAAAACAAAAATGCTATACCATTAATAATGAGTCCAGTCACCACCGGCTTTGGTAATTGCCTGGCATCTCTGAAGCATACTTTCCACTAAGCTGACTGCGTATTCGTTCGGTAAAGACCTCCAAATGAGACGAATTTTGTCGTGTCAACTGCTGCAAAGTGCACACTCTTTCTCCTCGAAGCTCGTGCTTGAGATATGTCCACACATTTTCAATGGGATTTGCATGTGGCGACTGCGATGGCCAATCATGTGTGACGATGCCAGACTGCTCTTTCCACTCGGCGCAAAGCTTGCTCCGGTGTTTTGGGTCGTTGGCTTCCTGTAAGGTCCAGTCCTCGTTTTTTTTTATGAAGCGTCGTTCAGCAGTCGGCAACAAACACTTCTTATAAATTTTAAGCATTTTCGGAGCATTTAAATTGTATGTAAACAGATGTAATGTTCCAAAAGCCTGTTTCAAAAAGCAGCCCCAAAGATGAACTTTTAAAGGGTGTTTAACAGTCCGTTGTATTAATTTATTGGTCAAGGTTGACCAGGAGCGTCGGATGGCAGTATATCCCCAAACAGAAGCTTCGTCCATAAAGATCACGTTGTTCCAATCTCGATCCAAATTCTCTTTTGCCCAAGCGAGTCTATTCGTCACACATTTCTCGCCTAACAGTGGTTTCTTCATTGTGCTTCGATGTTTGAGGTTATGCGCAAGGAGATGGATTCGTATAGTTGTATGTGATACTTCTATACCCTTCTGTTTTAATTTTGCTGCTCCTTGTTGCAATGTTAATGTCGGGTTCCGCTTAAACAAATACACAATTTTTTTTCCATATTCGGCATCACTTTGCCTATCGAGCCACGTTCTGGCAAATCATCGACATTTTTGATCTTCTCATATTGCGGAACACACTTAGCGACGAACGATTTTGTCTTTCCCATGTATTTAGCAGCTATTGTATATGAAATTTTTGGTCCTTTGCGGTGGGGACAAAGGAACACAGCCTCGTAGTGCGATGCGTATGCGGCACTCATGGCGGTTAACGTGTTTCTTAGGTTAGAGTTCGACGCCAACTCAATCTTTTGTGACAAAGCGTTCACGACAAAGATTTCATCTATCGGTTCACAAAATACTAGGACGATATTTCAAGCCAACTGCCATTTATGCCATACACGATCTTACTTTACTTTACAGACTGTATGTTATGTACAGATGAATTTGACTGTTCTGGATTCAATATTTCTTTAGTAATGTCCGGGCCCGTCACATGTAGATTGTTGCAAGATGTACGCAAAATGTGACGATCACCGAGAGAAAGAGTACAATGAGGTTGGCCGTGTGTTTTCTTATTATAACAAAACCTTCCTGAAGCTTTAAACGCTCTTGAGCAACTTGATCATCGCTGATTTGGAGAAGCCTAACTGCCGGGAGATTTCTCCATGCCTTTGTTTGCGACTCTCTATGATAAATTTTCATTGTCGTTCGTACATCTTCTAAGATACTACTTAACTAGTGTTTACAGCTGGGCTGAATTAACGACAAAATACATAACCATAACATATAAACAAATGTGATCAATGATTTTGGGACAATTAATAGTGTTTTGAATATCATAATATATGTTGCCAAATTTTCTCATACATTACGCACAAAGTATATATGATACCAGCTACCTGTTGCAAAAATGAATCTAATTTCTTTACTACAAAGAAAGTTATGCTAAAACATCCTAAAAGTGATATATTTTTGGTCGGTACTGTACATAAAATTAAAAATACAACAGTATATAAATATATATAAGTATATAAAAATATGCGATATAAAAAAATATGTAACGACATATAGTATGTATCAAAACATATCACAATATATACAAGGTAGCAATACATAAGACAGTTATATTTCGTTTGAATATTCCGCCTTTGTGAACAACGTAAACAGCTCTTTCCGAAGATTGTCTTCGGATCGTTCTTCGCTCAGACAGCACTTGCTTAACAACTGTGTAAGAGTTTAATTCTTATCATAACCGATCACCGCGCGTAAGTTTATGATTGGTGACTCGCGACGGTTACTTCATATGTTTCCCTCTTGAAGAAAGTGTTCAAACTGTTTCGCAGCCGATTGTAGCTGACGCGACCTTTTCTGTTTGTCTGATATCTCGCTTTTCGATATTGTGAATATCACAGCTACTAATAATTTCAAATAGTCGTTCGTCGATCTTACAAAGTGCACAAAAAATCTTTCAGAGGTACTAATAATAAGTCGAATCACGAAGAAAAATAAAGTTGAGCGGTGTAGTTATACAAACAGATTATTGCGCCGAGCAAGTTTTAAAAGTCAAAATCTCCATTAGGAGAGAATCGATAGAGAGAAAACGGAACAACTTTGAAGAGCGATCCGTGCGGCAAACGTTAAAAAAAGGGAGTAGCATTAAAAAGTGGATATGTCCTACGAATGTATTTGCTGCGGACAAAGGTTCAGTCAGATGAATTTCACAAAGCACCTCATTGAGGACAAAGAATGTTGGATAAAAGTATGGGACCATGGCAACAATAAAACCAACGATGAGGTAATCTTGTAAAAGTATATTATACTAAAGCGTAAAGACAATTATACATGTCGCTAGTCCATAGTAAGACTGTAACTTTGTTTATAATGTGCAGAAAAAACTGGAAAGCCATATACGTGTTCATTCACAAAAACAAGAAGAAAGTAATATTATAGGCCCGGAACCATTTTTAAGCAGTAACACGTATGGCATACATTCCAGCACAAGCAGCGGCATTCAAGAGCGCAAAAATATACTTTACGAATATGACGATTACAACCAAAAGTTTTGTAGAGAGAATGAGTTGACGAATCACTTAAAGCAGAAACACAAAGGTGTAATGCACCAATGCGATCATTGCAACTACGAATTCAACGATGAGGTAAATCTGCAAAATTGTTAAACATTGTACAAAACGAAGACGGTTACATGTGCCCTCAATAAAGCCGTAATTTTCTTTACAATCTGCAGAAACATCTGATGAGCCACATACGATGTGTTCATCCAAACATCCAGGAGGTAACTAATAGTGCGAAGCCGGGGCCTTCTTGGGAGGATGATCAGTGCGGCAAACATTCTAACAGAAATAGTTGCATTGAAAACAATAGGCCTTACGAATGTGATGTGTGTAACCAAAGGTTTCATAAAAGATATGGATTAATATATCACTACAAGAATGCCCACCGACGTTTAATGTACCAATGTGAACATTGCATATACGGAACTAACGATGAAGTAAATCTGCGGAAATGTCATTATATACATTGTACAAAAATGCAAAGACCGTTATATGTGTTCTCAGTAAGGATATAACCTTTTTATAATCTGCAGGAAGATATGAAGAGCCACATACGTGTTCATCCTAACATCCAGGAAGAAAATAATAGTGCAGAGCCGGGACCGTCTTGGGAGAGTGTCCCGGGCGTCAAACATTCTAAGACAAACAGCTGCATTGAAAACATGCTTCACGAATATGATGTTTGCAACCAAAAGTTCCGTGAAATTAATGAGGTGACGAATCACTTAATGCAGGACCACAAGTATTTAATTCATCAATCTGAATATTGCAACTACCCAACAAACAATGAAATAACTCTGCTAAAATATTATACATTATAGGAAAACGCAATGGTTTTATGTGTTCTCAGTAAGACTATAACTTCCTTTGTAATCTGCAGGAGCATCTGAAGAGCCAGGTACAATGTGTTCATCCTAACATCCAGGAAGAAAATAATAGTGCAGAGCCGGGACCGTCTTGGGAGAGTGTCCCGGGCGTCAAACATTCTAAGACAAACAGCTGCATTGAAAACATGCTTCACGAATATGATGTTTGCAACCAAAAGTTCCGTGAAATTAATGAGGTGACGAATCACTTAATGCAGGACCACAAGTATTTAATTCATCAATCTGAATATTGCAACTACCCAACAAACAATGAAATAACTCTGCTAAAATATTATACATTATAGGAAAACGCAATGGTTATATGTGTTCTCAGTAAGACTATAACTTTCTTTATAACCTGCAGGAGCTTCTGGAGAGCCAGGTACAATGTGTTCATCCAAACATCCAGGAAGAAGATAATAGTGCGGAGCCGGGACCGTCTTGGGAGAGTGATACGTATGGCAAACATTCCAGCAGAAACAGCTGCAGTGAAAACAATATGCCTTACGAATGTACTGTTTGCAACCAGAGGTTTTATGGAACGTTAACATTGACATATCACTACAAGGATGTCCACCAACGTTTAATGCCCCATTGTGAACATCGCGCCTACGAAACCAATGATGTAGTAACTCTGCGAAAATATTATACATTATACGAAAGCGCAAGAACGATGATATGTGTTCTTAGTAAGAGTACAATTTTGTTTATAATTTACAGAAAAATCTGAAGGACCACGTACGACGCGTTTATCCTAATGTCCAGAAGGAAAGTAATAGTTCAGCGCCGGGACCGTCTCGCGAGAGTGAGCCCTGCGCCAAATATACCAGCATAAATAGTAACAAAAAAAAGTTCAAATTAGATTGGAAATGTCAAGTTTGTAATCAAGAGCACTCTGGCAACCAAAAGTTGATGCATCACCTAGCAGAAGTCCATGGAATTCAGGCAAAATTCAATTGTAGCCAATGCAACTACAAAACCAACTTCTACTATCTTTATCATAGTCATTGGAAATCAATGCATGAAGACAATTACGACTACCCGTGTACTGAACCCGGCTGTGAACAGGCGTACAAAACACGAACAAGTCTGTGGAATCACATGCATGTTAAGCATTCTAATGAACAAGAGAAAAGCAATATTGTGGACCTGAAACTGTCTTCAGAGAGTCATCCGTGCGGCAAACATTCCACCAGAAAGAGCAGTGTTGAAACGTATGAAAGAAAACCTGCACTATGCCCAGTCTGCAACCGAAGGTTTCGTTTTCAGAAAGAGCTAATAGATCACTTAATAAAAGACCACGGCCGTCGAACGATATACAACTGCAGCCATTGCAGCTATGAAACTAATCACAGGCAAAGCTATGAAAGGCATAATAAACGAAAGCACGAAGACAATTACGACTACGTGTGTACTGTGCCCAACTGTAACTGGAAGGGCAAACTTCAGTGTGATCTAATACGACACATGCAAAGAGTTCATCATAATAATCAAAAGAAAAGCGGAAGTACGAACGCGGAGCCGTCCTTGGAGAATGACTCATGAATCAAACAATCCAGAATAAGAAATAAACAGCAATAAAGAGCCCAAAAATGTGATTCAGGTTTTGATAGAAAGAAAGAGTTGAAACATCATCTCTGAGAGGGCCATAGAAGAACTGACTGCAGCGACTGCAATTACACATCTAACAAAAAACAGGACTTGCAATATCACATTGGACGAAAGCACGTGTACAATTACCACTACGTATTTATTAATAAAAGCTGTTACAAGAAGTTCAAACTTGAATAGGATCAGAAGAAAAACGTAAAATATAATCACTCGCATGACTCTTAATAATGACGAAAATATAATCATGCTAACTCTAGTTTTTTATAAAAGATACACGGATGTGCAGAAAAATTCGAAAATAGCCTGTATCATCTGTGGCAATATCATAAACAGGTAAAGTTTATTTAATCGTTTACTGATATATGTTGACAGGACAATTACTTGTTCTGTTTGCAATAAGATATTTAGTACGAAGGGCAGTATGCGGAATTCATTCGTTGTATCACGGGCCAACGATTCTACTTCTGCAAGCTTTACGTCATGGCATTTGTCCATTCGCAGTTTTTATGCAGTTATATAGAAAGAGGAAGGAAAAATGTTCGGAGTAACTTCCGATCGAATAATGTTAGTAGATATTGAAGCATTATTGCAAAACTTCTAGATGGACAAGCGATAAACAGGCTGGCGAATTAAGCGTAGAAAAAGTATAAAAACCGTGATGAAACAGTCTATGCTTCAGCTTCCACACACTCGCTCAAACTTACATCTTGAAACGTACATATGTGCTGATGCGTGCACACGCATATAAGATATCCGCGTTTAGAAAATATTCGAGAGGGAATTTCTTTGTAGAATTATATATTTGCCCTTTTTGAATTGTGGTTTTGTTCCTGGACATATATTCGCAATAGTTCTACATTTTCTATTCTTCCTTATACACGTGCGCAAAATGTTTTATTTATTGTATTGGGTGAGTGCAAAAGTTCGTGCGGAGTTTCAATAGATGGAGTTATAAGCGTCGTAAAGTGTTGTCATTAATACTTCCATCTACATATTATATAACGTTGGAAAGGTGACGTCTTCAGCTGTTATTAAAAAAAAAATCATTTGTTTTCATACAAACTGCTTCGAGAAATATCACTTTAAAAATGAGTATCGATAAGGTGCATTTACGGCATGTTATGCTTTACGAGTTTCGGAAGGGAATAAACGTTGCCGCAGCCGTAAAAAATATTCAGGATGTTTATCAGGATGAAGCACCAGCTAAACGAACTGTGGAAAAATGGTTTGCTAAATTTCGGCGCGGAGAATTTAACCTTGAAGACGAGCCACGCTCTGGTCGACCTTCTGACATTGATGACGATGTTTTGCGTACTTTAGTGCTCAATAAACCGCGAATTTCAACAGAAGAAGTTGCTACAGCACTAAACGTTGACCGATCAACTGCTTTTCGGCGTTTAAAAAAGATGGGACTCGATTTGAAGCTCGATATATGGGTGCCCCATTTGCTGACCGAGAAGAACAAAATCAAGCGAATTTCTGCAGCCGTTTCTTTACTCGGGCGGCTCAATAACGAGTCCTTTTTAGATCGACTAGTGACGGGCGATGAGAAATGGGTCCTCTATAACAATGTTCAGCGCAAACGGACATGGAAACAATCAGGTGAGCGTGGTGACGCAATGCCAAAGGCCAGTTTGCACCCGATGAAGGTGATGCTCTCTGTTTGGTGGGATTGCAAGGGCATAATCTATTTCGAGCTTTTCCCCGCTGGCGAAACGATTGATTCGGACAAGTACTGTCGCCAATTAACCAATCTGAATCGAGAAATAAAAGAGAAACGTCCGATTTTGTCAAATCGCAAGGGAGTCGTCTTTCATCACGACAACGCCAGACCACACATTTCGAAAAAGACGCTGCGCAAACTGAAGAGCCTGAAATGGGATGTCTTAACGCATCCACCGTATTCTCCTGATATCGCACCATCTGACTATCACTTGTTCCAGTCATTGCAAAATTATTTAAATGGAAAAAACTTTGACTCTTTGGAGGCCTTAAAAAACGGCGTCTCTTCGTTCTTCGAATCTAAACCGCGCAGTTTTTATGATCGAGACATCCGTATGCTGCCAGAAGGTTGGGAAAAGATTATAGAAATCGATGGAGAATATATCATTGATTGAATAAAGATTTTTGTTTGCCTAATCACTGTGTGACTTTTACTCACAAACTCCGCACGAACTTTTGCACTCACCCAATACAATACGTATAACTATACATATAAAAGGAATGGATCTACATAGTGCAATCCTTGAGCTTAATCGAAACTTAAGCCCATGTCATCGTCTTATTCCTCTTCCGGTTCTTTCTTTTTTTTCTCTTCCTTGGTTGGTGCAGCTTTTGGCTGTTGGCAGGTGCTACTGCAGATGGAGGCTCAGCTCCTGCAGGCGCGGCACCAACACCAGATCAAATATCGGTAATCAGTTCTTTAACATCGATTCCTTCCAAAACTTTGGCAACAGCTTTGGCCAGTAAGATTCAACATTAACATTCGCAGCTTTCAAAATAGTTTGTATTTTTTCTCGCGTGCGTGGTGTGTGTACACATGAATGTGCGCACATACATGTTCATAATTTTCTGTGTAGACTACAAAAACGAGACATATGGAAGAATTGAAGGATGGCTATATGAGGTACGTCATAGATATATATTTTATTATTTACGTGCTAAATGAAACATAGTATTAAACCTTTTTTATAAAAAGATAAAGAAATACAGTCTGCAAAGTAAGAGCGTATAGGGGTTAATGTATAGAAAAATTTATTTTTAATGATATTTAAGTACATGGATTTGTTGTACTCCATGAGAAGAAAAATGTTATACCATTGATAATGAGTCCAGTCACCACCGGCTTTGGTAATTGCCTGGCATCTCCGAGGCATACTTTCCACTAAGTTGACTGCGTATCCATTCGGTAAAGACCTCCAAATGAGACGAATTTTGTCGTGTCAGCTGCTTCAAAGTGCACACTCTCTTTCCTCGAAGCTTGTGCTTGAAATATGCCCACACATTTTCAATGGGATTTGCATCTGGCGACTGCGATGGCCAATCATGTGTGACAATGCCAGACTGCTCTTTCCACTCGACGCAAAGTTTGCTCCGGTGTTTTGGGTCGTTGTCTTCCTGTAAGATCCAGTCCTCGTTTTTTTTTATGAAGCATCGTTCAGCAATCGGCAACAAACACTTCTTATCAATTTTAAGCATTTTCGGAGCATTTAAATTGTATGTAAACAGATGTAATGCTCCAAAAGCCTGTTTCAAAAAACAGCCCCAATGATGAACTTTTAAATGGTGTTTAACAGTCCGTTGTATTAATTTATTGGTCAAGGTTGACCAGGAGCGTCGGATGGCAGTATATCCCCAAACAGAAGCTTCGTCCATAAAGATCACGTTGTTCCAATCTCGATCCAAATTCTCTTTTGCCCAAGCGAGTCTATTCGTCACACATTTCTCGCCTAATAGTGGTTTTTTCATTGTGCTTCGATGTTTGCGGTTATGCGCAAAGAGATGGGTACGTATAGTTGTATGTGATACTTCTATACCCTTCTGTTTTAATTTTGTTGCTCCTTGTCGCAATGTTAAGGTCGGGTTCCGCTTAAACAAATTCACAATTTTTTTTCCATATTCGGCATCACTTTGCCTATCGAGCCACGTTCTGGCAAGTCATCGACATTTTTTATCTTCTCATATTGCGGAACACACTTAGCGACGAACGATTTTGTCTTTCCCATGTATTTAACAGCTATTGTATATGAAATTTTTGGTCCTATGCGGTGGGGACAAAGGAACACAGCCTCGTAGTGCGATGCATATGCGGCACTCATGGCGGTTAACGTGTTTCTTAGGTTAGAGTTCGACGCCAACTCAATCTTTTGTGACAAAGCGTTCACGACAAAGATTTCATCTATCGGTTCACAAAATACTAGGACGATATTTCAAGCCAACTGCCATTTATGCCGTACACGATCTTACTTTACTTTACAAACTGTATGTTATGTACAGATGAATTTGACTGTTCTGGATTCAATATTTCTTTAGTAATGTCCGGGCCCGTCACATGTAGATTGTTGCAAGATGTATGCAAAATGTGACGATCACCGAGAAAAAGAGTACAATGAGGTTGGCCGTATTTTTTCTTATATAACAAAACCTTCCTGAAGCTTTAAACGCTCTTAAACAACTTGATCATCGCTGATTTGGAGAAGCCTACTGCCGGGAGATTTCTCCATGCCTTTGTTTGCGACTCTCTATGACAAATTTTCATTGTCGTTCGTCCATCTTCTAAGATACTACTTAACTAATGTTTACAGCTGGGCTGAATTAACGACAAAATACATAACCATAACATATAAACAAAGGTGATCCACGATTTTGGGACAATTAATATAGTGTTTTGAATATCATAATATATGTTGCCAAATTTTCTCATACATTACGCACAAAGTATATATGATACCAGCTACCTGTTGCAAAAATGAATCTAATTTCTTTACTACGAAGAAAGTTATGCTAAAACATCCTAAAAGTGATATATTTTTGGTCGGTACTGTACATAAAATTAAAAATACATGAGTATATAAATATATATAAATATATAACAATACACGATATATAAAAATATGTAACAACATATAGAATGTATCAAAACATATCACAATATATACAAGGTAGCAATACATAAGACAGTTATATTTCGTTTGAATATTCCGCCTTTGTGAACAACGTAAACAGCTCTTTCCGAAGATTGTCTTCGGATCGTTCTTCGCTCAGACAGCACTTGCTTAACAACTGTGTAAGAGTTTAATTCTTATCATAACTGATCACCGCGCGTAAGTTTATGATTGGTGACTCGCGACGGTTACTTCATATGTTTCCCTCTTGAAGAAAGTGTTCATACTGTTTCGCAGCCGATTGTAGCTGACGCGACCTTTTCTGTTTGTCTGATATCTCGCTTTTGGATACTGTGAATATCACAGCTACTAATAATTTCAAATAGTCGTTCGTCGATCTTACAAAGTGCACATAAAATCTTTCAGAGGTACTAATAATAAGTCGAATCACGAAGAAAAATAAAGTTGAGCGGTGTAGTTATACAAACAGATTATTGCGCCGAGCAAGTTGTAAAAGTCAAAACCTCCATTAGGAGAGAATCGATAGAGAGAAAACGGAACAACTTTGAAGAGCGATCCGTGCGGCAAACGTTAAAAAAAGGGAGTAGCATTAAAAAGTGGATATGACCTACGAATGTATTTCCTGCGGACAAAGGTTCGGTCAGGTGAATTTCACAAAGCACCTCATTGAGGACGAAGAATGTTGGATAAAAATATGGGACCATGGCAACAATGAAACCAACGATGAGGTAATCTTGTAAAAGTATATTATACTAAAGCGTAAAGACAATTATACATGTCGTTAGTCCATAGTAAGGCTGTAACTTTGTTCATAATGTGCAGAAAAAACTGGAAAGCGATATACATGTTCATTCACAAAAACAAGAAGAAAGTAATATTATAGGCCCGGAACCATTTTTAAGCAGTAACACGTATGACATACATCCCAGCACAAGCAGCGGCATTCAAGAGAGCAAAAATATACTTTACGAATATGATGATTACAACCAAAAGTTTTGTAGAAAGAATGAGTTGACGAATCACTTAACGCAGAAACACAAAGGTGTAATGCACCAATGCGATCATTGCAACTACGAATTCAAGGATGAGGTAAATCTGCAAAAGTGTTAAACATTGTACAAAACTCAAAGACGGATACATGTGTCTTCAGTAAAGCCGTAATTTCCTTTATAATCTGCAGAAACATCTGATGAGCCACATACGATATGTTCATCCTAACATCCAGGAGGAAATTTACAGTGCGCAGCCGGGACCTTCTTGGGAGGATGGTCAGTACGGCAAACATTCTAACAGAAATAGTTGCATTGAAAACAACAGGCCTTACGAATCGTGTAAAGTTTGCCAGCAGAGGTTTCATAGAAAGTTAGAATTGATAAATCATTACAAAAATGTCCACCAACGTTTGATGCATCAATGTGAACATTGCGCCTACGAAACCAACAATGAGGTAACTCTGCAAAAATACATTGTACGAAAACACATGGACGGTTACATGTATTGTCAGTAAGTCTGTAACTTTGTGTATAATTTGTAGGAGGATCTGAAAAGCCACATGCAATTTTATCATTCTAACGTCCAGAAGGAAAGTAATCGTGGGGAGCAGGGACCATCTTGGGAAAGTGATCCCTGTGGCAAACATTCCAGCACAAACAGCTGCATAGAAAACAATATGCCCTACGAATGTGATGTTTGTGACCAAAGGTTTCATAAAAGATATGAATTAATATATCACTACAAGAATGCCCACCGACGTTTAATGTACCAATGTGAACATTGCATATACGGAACTAACGATGAAGTAAATCTGCGGAAATGTTACCATATACATTGTACCAAAATGCAAAGACGGTTATATGTTTTCTCAGTAAAGATATAACCTTTTTATAATCTGCAGGAAGATATGAAGAGCCACATACGTGATCATTCTAACAACCAAGAAGAAAGCATTATTATAGACCAGGAACCGTCTTTGAAGAGTGACTCGGGCGTCAAACATTCCAGGAAACACAGCTGCATTGAAAACATACCTCACGAATATGATGTTTGCAACCAAAAGTTCCGCAAAATTAATGAGGTGACGACGAATCACTTAATGCAGGACCACAAATATTTAATGCATCAATCTGAATATTGCAACTACCAAGCCAACAATGAAATAATCTTGCTAAAATATTATTCATTATAGGAAAACGCAATGGTCATATGTGTTCTCAGTAAGACTATAACTTTCTTTATAACCTGCAGGAGCATCTGGAGAGCCAGGTACAATGTGTTCATCCAAACATCCAGGAAGAAGATAATAGTGCGGAGCCGGGACCGTCTTGGCAGAGTGATACGTATGGCAAACATTCCAGCAGAAACAGCTGCAGTGAAAACAATATGCCTTACGAATGTACTGTTTGCAACCAGAGGTTTGATAGAACGTTAAAATTGGCATATCACTACAAGAATGTCCACCAACGTTTAATCCCCCATTGTGAACATCGCGCCTACGAAACCAATGATGTAACTCTGCAAAAATATACATTATACGAAAGCGCAAGAACGGTTATATGTGTTCTTAGTAAGAGTATAATTTTGTTTATAATTTACAGAAAAATCTGAAGGACCACGTACGACGCGTTTATCCTAATGTCCAGAAAGAAAGTAATAGTTCAGAGCCGGGACCGTCTCGCGAGAGTGAGCCCTGCGCCAAATATACCAGCATAAATAGTAACAAAAGAAAGTACAAATTAGATTGGAAATGTCAAGTTTGTAATCAAGAACTCTCTGGCAACCAAATGTTGCTACATCACCTAGCAGAGGTCCATGGAATTCAGGCAAAATTCAATTGTAGCCAATGCAACTACAAAACCAACTTACACTATCTTTATTATCGTCATTGGAAAGCAATGCATGAAGACAATTACGACTACCCGTGTACTGAACCAGGCTGTGAACGGGCGTACAAAACACGAATAGGTCTGTGGAGACACATGCATGTTAGGCATTCTAACGAACAAGAGAAAAGCAATATTGTGGACCTGAAACTGTCTTCAGAGAGTCATCCGTGCGGCAAACATTCCACCAGAAAGAGAAGTGTTGAAAAGTATGGAAGAAAACCTGCACTATGCCCAGTCTGCAACCGAAGGTTTCGTTTTCAGAAAGAGCTGATAGATCACTTAATAAAAGACCACGGCCGTCGAACGATATACAACTGCAGCCATTGCAGCTATGAAACTAATCACAGGCACAGCTATGAAAGGCATAATAAACGAAAGCACGAAGACAATTACGACTACGTGTGTGCTGTGCCCAACTGCAACTGGAAGGGCAAATTTCAGTATGATCTAAGACTACACATGCAAAGTGTTCATCATAATAATCAAAAGAAAAGCGGAAGTACGAACGCGGAGACGTCCTTGGAGAATGACTCATGAATCAAACAATCCAGAATAAGAAATAAACAGCAATAAAGAGCCCAAAAATGTGATTCAGGTTTTGATAGAAAGAAAGAGTTGAAACATCATCTCTGAGAGGGCCATAGAAGAACTGACTGCAGCGACTGCAATTACACATCTAACAAAAAACAGGACTTGCAATATCACATTGGACGAAAGCACGTGTACAATTACCACTACGTATTTATTAATAAAAGCTGTTACAAGAAGTTCAAACTTGAATAGGATCAGAAGAAAAACGTAAAATATAATCACTCGCATGACTCTTAATAATGACGAAAATATAATCATGCTAACTCTAGTTTTTTATAAAAGATACACGGATGTGCAGAAAAATTCGAAAATAGCCTGTATCATCTGTGGCAATATCATAAACAGGTAAAGTTTATTTAATCGTTTACTGATATATGTTGACAGGACAATTACTTGTTCTGTTTGCAATAAGATATTTAGTACGAAGGGCAGTATGCGGAATTCATTCGTTGTATCACGGGCCAACGATTCTACTTCTGCAAGCTTTACGTCATGGCATTTGTCCATTCGCAGTTTTTATGCAGTTATATAGAAAGAGGAAGGAAAAATGTTCGGAGTAACTTCCGATCGAATAATGTTAGTAGATATTGAAGCATTATTGCAAAACTTCTAGATGGACAAGCTATAAACAGGCTGTCGAATTAAGCGTAGAAAAAGTATAAAAACCGTGATGAAACAGTCTATGCTTCAGCTTCCACACACTCGCTCATACTTACATCTTGAAACGTACATATGTGCTGATGCGTGCACACGCATATAAGATATCCGCGTTTAGAAAATATTCGAGAGGGAATTTCTTTGTAGAATTATATATTTGCCCTTTTTGAATTGTGGTTTTGTTCCTGGACATATATTCGCAATAGTTCTACATTTTCTATTCTTCCTTATACACGTGCGCAAAATGTTTTATTTATTGTACAATACGTATAACTATACATATAAAAGGAATGGATCTACATAGTGCAATCCTTGAGCTTAATCGAAACCTAAGCCCATGTCATCGTCTTATTCCTCTTCCGGTTCTTTCTTTTTTTTCTCTTCCTTGGTTGGTGCAGCTTTTGGCTGTTGGCAGGTGCTACTGCAGATGGAGGCTCAGCTCCTGCAGGCGCGGCACCAACACCAGATCAAATATCGGTAATCAGTTCTTTAACATCGGTTCCTTCCAAAACTTTGGCAACAGCTTTGGCCAGTAAGATTCAACATTAACATTCGCAGCTTTCAAAATAGTTTGTATTTCTTCTCCCGTGCGTGATGTGTGTACACATGAATGTGTGCACATACATGTTCATAATTTTCTGTGTAGACTACAAAAACGAGACATATGGAAGAATTGAAGGATGGCTATATGAGGTACGTCATAGATATATATTTTATTATTTATGTGCTAAATGAAACATATAAAACTTTTTTTATAACAAGGTAAAGAAATAGAGTCTGCAAAGTAAGAGCCTGCACGAGTTAATGTGTAGAAAAATTTATTTTTAATGATTTTTAAGTACATGGATTTGTTGTACTCCATGAAAAGAAAAATGCTATACCATTAATAATGAGTCCAGTCACCACCGGCTTTGGTAATTGCCTGGCATCTCTGAGGCATACTTTCCACTAAGTTGACTACGTATTCGTTCGGTAAAGACCTCCAAATGAGACGAATTTTGTCGTGTCAACTGCTTCAAAGTGCACACTCTTTTTCCTCGAAGCTCGTGCTTGAGATATGTCCACACATTTTCAATGGGATTTGCATGTGGCGACTGCGATGGCCAATCATGTGTGACGATGCCAGACTGCTCTTTCCATTCGGCGCAAAGCTTGCTCCGGTGTTTTGGGTCGTTGGCTTCCTGTAAGGTCCAGTCCTCGTTTTTTTTTATGAAGCGTCGTTCAGCAGTCGGCAACAAACACTTCTTATAAATTTTAAGCATTTTCGGAGCATTTAAATTCTATGTAAACAGATGTAATGTTCCAAAAGCCTGTTTCAAAAAGCAGCCCCAAAGATGAACTTTTAAAGGGTGTTTAACAGTCCGTTGTATTAATTTATTGGTCAAGGTTGACCAGGAGCGTCGGATGGCAGTATATCCCCAAACAGAAGCTTCGTCCATAAAGATCACGTTGTTCCAATCTCGATCCAAATTCTCTTTTGCCCAAGCGAGTCTATTCGTCACACATTTCTCGCCTAACAGTGGTTTCTTCATTGTGCTTCGATGTTTGAGGTTATGCGCAAGGAGATGGATTCGTATAGTTGTATGTGATACTTCTATACCCTTCTGTTTTAATTTTGCTGCTCCTTGTTGCAATGTTAATGTCGGGTTCCGCTTAAACAAATGCACAATTTTTTTTCCATATTCGGCATCACTTTGCCTATCGAGCCACGTTCTGGCAAATCATCGACATTTTTGATCTTCTCATATTGCAGAACACACTTAGCGACGAACGATTTTGTCTTTCCCATGTATTTAGCAGCTATTGTATATGAAATTTTTAGTCCTTTGCGGTGGGGACAAAGGAACACAGCCTCGTAGTGCGATGCGTATGCGGCACTCATGGCGGTTAACGTGTTTCTTAGGTTAGAGTTCGACGCCAACTCAATCTTTTGTGACAAAGCGTTCACGACAAAGATTTCATCTATCGGTTCACAAAATACTAGGACGATATTTCAAGCCAACTGCCATTTATGCCGTACACGATCTTATTTTACTTTACAGACTGTATGTTATGTACAGATGAATTTGACTGTTCTGGATTCAATATTTCTTTAGTAATGTCCAGGCCCTTCATATGTAGATTGTTGCAAAATGTATGCAAAATGTGACGATCACCGAGAGAAAGAGTACAATGAGGTTGGCCGTGTGTTTTCTTATTATAACAAAACCTTCCTGAAGCTTTAAACGCTCTTAAGCAACTTGATCATCGCTGATTTGGAGAAGCCTAACTGCCGGGAGATTTCTCCATGCCTTTGTTTGCGACTCTCTATGATAAATTTTCATTGTCGTTCGTCCATCTTCTAAGATACTACTTAACTAATGTTTACAGCTGGGCTGAATTAACGACAAAATACATAACCATAACATATAAACAAAGGTGATCCACGATTTTGGGACAATTAATATAGTGTTTTGAATATCATAATATATGTTGCCAAATTTTCTCATACATTACGCACAAAGTATATATGATACCAGCTACCTGTTGCAAAAATGAATCTAATTTCTTTACTACAAAGAAAGTTATGCTAAAACATCCTAAAAGTGATATATTTTTGGTCGGTACTGTACATAAAATTAAAAATACAAGAGTATATAAATATATATAAGTATATAAAATATGCGATATAAAAAATATGTAACGACATATAGTATGTATCAAAACATATCACAATATATACAAGGTAGCAATACATAAGACAGTTATATTTCGTTTGAATATTCCGCCTTTGTGAACAACGTAAACAGCTCTTTCCGAAGATTGTCTTCGGATCGTTCTTCGCTCAGACAGCACTTGCTTAACAACTGTGTAAGGGTTTAATTCTTATCATAACCGATCACCGCGCGTAAGTTTATGATTGGTGACTCGCGACGGTTACTTCATATGTTCCCTCTTGAAGAAAGTGTTCAAACTGTTTCGCAGCCGATTGTAGCTGACGCGACCTTTTCTGTTTGTCTGATATCTCGCTTTTGATTCTGTGAATATCACAGCTACTAATAATTTCAAATAGTCGTTCGTCGATCTTACAAAGTGCACATAAAATCTTTCAAAGGTACTAATAATAAGTCGAATCACGAAGAAAAATAAAGTTGAGCGGTGTAGTTATACAAACAGATTATTGCGCCGAGCAAGTTTTAGAAGTCAAAATCTCCATTAGGAGAGAATCGATAGAGAGAAAACGGAACAACTTTGAAGAGCGATCCGTGCGGCAAACGTTAAAAAAAGGGAGTAGCATTAAAAAGTGGATATGTCCTACGAATGTATTTCCTGCGGACAAAGGTTCAGTCAGATGAATTTCACAAAGCACCTCATTGAGGACAAAGAATGTTGGATAAAAGTATGGGACCATGGCAACAATAAAACCAACGATGAGGTAATCTTGTAAAAGTATATTATACTAAAGCGTAAAGACAATTATACATGTCGCTAGTCCATAGTAAGACTGTAACTTTGTTTATAATGTGCAGAAAAAACTGGGAAAGCCATATACGTGTTCATTCACAAAAACAAGAAGAAAGTAATATTATAGGCTCGGAACCATTTTTAAGCAGTAACACGTATGGCATACATTCCAGCACAAGCAGCGGCATTCAAGAGCGCAAAAATATACTTTACGAATATGACGATTACAACCAAAAGTTTTGTAGAGAGAATGAGTTGACGAATCACTTAACGCAGAAACACAAAGGTGTAATGCACCAATGCGATCATTGCAACAACGAATTCAACGATGAGGTAAATCTGCAAAAGTGTTAAACATTGTACAAAACGAAGACGTTACATGTGCCCTCAATAAAGCCGTAATTTTCTTTACAATCTGCAGAAACATCTGATGAGCCACATACGATGTGATCATCCAAACATCCAGGAGGTAACTAATAGTGCGAAGCCGGGGCCTTCTTGGGAGGATGATCAGTGCGGCAAACATTCTAACAGAAATAGTTGCATTGAAAACAATAGGCCTTACGAATGTGATGTGTGTAACCAAAGGTTTCATAAAAGATATGGATTAATATATCACTACAAGAATGCCCACCGACGTTTAATGTACCAATGTGAACATTGCATATACGGAACTAACGATGAAGTAAATCTGCGGAAATATTATACATTGTACCAAAATGCAAAGACCGTTATATGTGTTCTCAGTAAGGATATAACCTTTTTATAATCTGCAGGAAGATATGAAGAGCCACATACGTGATCATTCTAACAACCAAGGAGAAAGCATTATTATAGACCCGGAACCGTCTTTGGAGAATGACCAGGGCGTCAAACATTCTAAGACAAACAGCTGCATTGAAAACATGCTTCACGAATATGATGTTTGCAACCAAATGTTCCGTGAAATTAATGAGGTGACGACGAATCACTTAATGAAGGACCACAAATATTTAATGCATCAATCTGAATATTGCAACTACCAAACCAACAATGAAATAACTGCTAAAATATTATACATTATAGGAAAACGCAATGGTTTTATGTGTTCTCAGTAAGACTGTAACTTTCTTTGTAATCTGCAGGAGCATCTGAAGAGCCAGGTACAATGTGTTCATCTTAACATCCAGGAAGAAAATAATAGTGCAGAGCCGGGACCGGTCTTGGGAGAGTGTCCCGGGCGTCAAACATTCTAAGACAAACAGCTGCATTGAAAACATGCTTCACGAATATGATGTTTGCAACCAAATGTTCCGTGAAATTAATGAGGTGACGACGAATCACTTAATGCAGGACCACAAATATTTAATGCATCAATCTGAATATTGCAACTACCAAACCAACAATGAAATAACTCTGGCTAAAATATTATTCATTATAGGAAAACGCAATGGTTATATGTGTTCTCAGTAAGACTATAACTTTCTTTATAACCTGCAGGAGCATCTGGAGAGCCAGGTACAATGTGTTCATCCAAACATCCAGGAAGAAGATAATAGTGCGGAGCCGGGACGTCTTGGGAGAGTGATACATATGGCAAACATTCCAGCAGAAACAGCTGCAGTGAAAACAATATGCCTTACGAATGTACTGTTGCAACCAGAGGTTTTATAGAACGTTAACATTGACATATCACTACAAGAATGTCCACCAACGTTTAATGCCCCATTGTGAACATCGCGCCTACGAAACCAATGATGTAGTATCTGCAAAAATATTATACATTATACGAAAGCGCAAGAACGATTATATGTGTTCTTAGTAAGAGTACAATTTTGTTTATAATTTACAGAAAAATCTGAAGGACCACGTACGACGCGTTTATCCTAATGTCCAGAAGGAAAGTAATAGTTCAGAGCCGGGACCGTCTCGCGAGAGTGAACCCTGCGCCAAATATACCAGCATAAATAGTAACAAACAAAAGTACAAATTAGATTGGAAATGTCAAGTTTGTAATCAAGAGCACTCTGACAACCAAAAGTTGATGCATCACCTAGCAGAAGTCCATGGAATTCAGGCAAAATTCAATTGTAGCCAATGCAACTACAAAACCAACTTCTACTATCATTATCATAGTCATTGGAAATCAATGCATGAAGACAATTACGACTACCCGTGTACTGAACCCGGCTGTGAATGGGCGTACAAAACACGAACAGGTCTGCAGAAACACATGCGTGATAAGCATTCTAACGAACAAGAGAAAAGCAATATTGTGGACCTGAAACTGTCTTCAGAGAGTCATCCGTGCGGCAAACATTCCACCAGAAAGAGCAGTGTTGAAAAGTACGCAAAAAAACCTGTACTATGCCCAGTCTGCAACCGAAGGTTTCGTTTTCAGAAAGAGCTGATAGATCACTTAATAAAAGACCACGGCCGTCGAACGATATTCAACTGCATCCATTGCAGCTATGCAACTAATAACAGGCAAAGCTATGAAAGGCATAATAAACGATTGCACGAGGACAATT